CGCCCCCCTCGGCCAAGCCAAAAGAAGCGCCGCACCCCGCCGCTGCTGCGGCTTCGCTCACGGTCTCCAGCAGATCAGGGGCACCGGGAGCGAAGCCGCAGCCGCGGCGCGGTCCCGCGCCTCTGAGGCTTTGCCCGAGCAAAGCCTCAGAAGCGCGGGAACCCGCCGCTGCTGCGGATTTGCTCCCGATGCCCCTGGTCTGCTGGAGACGGTCCCCAGCAGACCAGGGGTACCGGGAGCACCTTTTCTTGCCCCGGAGCTCGAGGTGGCTGACCGCTGCCTGTGAGCTCCGGGGCGAGAAAGCCCCGTTCGTAAGTGCGGATCCGACATAAGTCGGATCCGCGTAAGTCGGGGACTGCCTGTATTTAAAACGTCCAAAGAGTAAGTGATCAAGTTGTTTTGATCATACTTAGCTTCACAGTTTGACAGGAAACAGGGGCGGTAGTCCAGTTAATTTAGAAAACAAACTGGACTACAGGAAAAAAAACTTAAAAAATGAGTGATCCTGTAGCACCTTAGAGACTACGCAAAAACGAACAAACAAACAACCCTCCCCCCCATCTAATATATATATATTAGTATCATGAGCTTTTGTTGGCATAACCCACTTCTTCAGATGTGGACCACAGAAAAAAAGAAAACAGCAATACTGAAGGCCAAATGGGAGTTCTGCCATTGACTTGCATAGGATCCAGATTTAACTCCTAGAGTACATAATATACAGAATTCTTTACTTTTGCTATCAGAGTGAATGTGTTTGGGATCTGTAAGTATTATGTGCCTCATTTAAAAATATTTATTTTTTGTACAATTTAAATATTTTCCCCTTAATCCTAATTCCACTAAATTAAAGTTAACTGTTATATATCTGAGGAGAAATAATTTCCATAAGAGGAAGGTTATATCTAGCATTTAAGCAATTGGATTAAGCACAATTAGGGCCAAGTTTTGAGCCTTGCTTTCATTGGGCCTTTCTTTTTTTTACCTACGGAAGGTGGCCTCAAATAACTATGATATAATTTAGGACTCTTGAATATTTAACTACTTGACTGTGCCTGCAAATCAGGTACACAAGTGTCCAAGTGAAAGTTAATGCCTTAGCAAATAGTGGCTAGCAGAAATAGGTCAGCCAGAAGCCAAACATTTGAGTCTTATTATTTGCGCAAACCAGAAAACACTATACAAGTAGGTACAGTTTAAGTTTTTGAGATTCTTCCCTTCCTCTGTTCTTCCCCTCCCCCCAGGAAGTGCATTAAAATAGTGATGTTTTATGTATGCATGAAGTACAGATGTAGAAATGTCATTAAAGAGTATTTACAATCCCACTGTTTTTGTCAAATATTCACAATGTAGATGTAGATATAACTCCAGTGATGTCAGTGTTGGATTGAATCCTTTGTTGTGAAGTTTACATCTAGTGCAATTCAGAGTGGAGTTTCTAGCATGTTATTTCCAGGGCAAGTAAGGAACAATGTCAGCAACCCCAGAATGAGCCTTCTGCAATATGTCTGACACCTCCTACCACCCTAATGAGAAGGAATTACTTTCCAATGGAAAGAGATGACATTCAGCCACCACACTTGCATCTTTTTGCTAGGATTTTTCTAAGCAGAGCACGTCAGGGCTACGGCAACACTTTAGCCTTCCGGAAAAGCTTATGCAAATGAAACGCGGTGTGGAATATTGCCACGCTTCATTTGCATAATTAATTAGCAGCTACTTTTGCACAAGAGGCTTTTGCACAAAAAAGAGCTGTGTAGATGGCTTCTTTTTGCACAAAAGCCCTCTCTTGTGAAAGAGCCGTTCTTCCTGAAAAAAGGAGGAAGAACGGCTCTTGCGCAAGAGGGTTTTTTGTGCAAAAAGGAGCCGTCTACACAGCTCCTTTCTGTGCAAAAGCAGCTGCTAATTAATTATACAAATGAAGTGTGGCAATATTCCACGCCACGCTTCATTTGCATAAGCTTTTCCAGAAGAAGGCTACAGTGTAGCCTTAGCCTAACTGATCAAGTCTGTGTGTATTGTTTTTTGGGAGCTGCTATCCATAAAAGACTGTATGGATCCTGTAGCCTCATTTCACTCTATATACATCCTTCTTCCTTTTCAACTTGTTCCCCATCTAGCCTTTCAATGTAAACTTCATCAGAAAAATCGTCAGATTTCATGGCTGGTGAAATGGTCAGAGGAGCCTTTAGAAATTCCAAAATGTTTACATTTAGCAGCAAATAACTGGAAAGATAACACTAAGTAAATTTGCTGAAGGGTGCACATTGAACTAAGTCACACTTTAGTCATCCAGACATTGGATACTGATGTAATCTTTAAAAAATTAAACCAAAACAGTTCAAGTGCATTGTATAACTTTGTATCATTTCCATCATAATAGTTTCATACTGTATGAAGCTGTTGAAAGGAAAACTGTGCAGGAGTCACAGCATGAGGGGACCTTGTGCCCCCAATTTGAGCAACAAGGAAAGCTCTTTGCAGAGAGAAGTTATGTCAGGGGAAAAACTATCCTCAGTTAAAATAATCCAGACAGTTAATGAAAAGTCACTCTGTGGTACAGACTGGGATCCGTGCCAGAAGACATTCTGGGTGAAATCCTGGCCCCACTGTGTATCAGTGGGAGCTTTCCCATTGACGTCAGAGAAGCCAGGGTTTCTTTCAGCCTATGTGATCAAAACTCTGTGGAGCAAAAGCTGCCTTCACATACTTTGGTGCAACCCCCCCCCCACCATCTTCACTGAGGGCAGCATTTGTCCATGTCACCTTAAAATTCTGAAACACTTAGGCACTTGCATAACTTCACTGGGGTGATTTTTATGGGGCTACTCATCAGTGTAATATTCACATGCCTACGCATTTCCAGAAGGTGGCCTGACAAACTTTCTAACCAGTTCAATTTCAGGATTGTCATTTAGTTAAGATGTTGCATAATACTTGACAAAAGCCAGGCAAACCTGAGCTCTCTCCATTTGTGTATAGTTTTGAGGAAAATTGGGGGAAATAAATCACCATCTCCTGTTTTGTGTTTAAATGCAGCCTTTATTCCAATCCGCCTGGCTGGTGGGAGCAATGCTCATGAAGGAAGAGTGGAAGTCTACCACACTGGCCAATGGGGGACTGTCTGTGATGACCAGTGGGATGATGCAGATGCTGAAGTTGTGTGTAGGCAGCTTGGCCTTGGGTTAGTTTTTTTTTTAAATACACTTTGCTCATAACCAAGTAGGAAAGCTAAAGTCACCAGAATTATAGAATTATAGCTGACACATTTATTAATGCTTGTAGTAAAATGGGCCTGACATTTTCCAACATACTACCCTGTTTTCACTTGCTTATAATTTAACCAAACTTAAGCAGGCCAAGCTGAAATTTTTCATTATAAGAAGCTGTTTTGGGATGAAGATTTTCTTCAGAAAATGTCATAAAAAACAGTGCAGTCATTTCCAGTTATTGGATTAAGAAAAAAGTTTTGTTAATGTTTAAAAAAAATGTACAACAATGTAATGTAATTGACCAAGGACAGGGTGGGCCCATTGCTCAGTGAAGAGGGAGAAGCAAAATAACAGAAAACTTGCAAATGGCAGAGGTGCTGAATGACTTTTTTGTTTCTGTTTTCACCAAGAGGATTGATGGTGACGAGATGCCTAACACAGTGAATGCTAGTGGAAATGGGCTATGTTTAGAAATTAAAATAAAAAAAGATCAAGTTAAAAATTACTTAGAAAAATTAGATGTCTTCAAGTCACCAGTGCCTGATGCAATGCATCCTAGAATACTCAAGGAGCTGATAGAGGAGGTATCCGAGCTATTATCTTTGAAAAGTCATGGAAGTCAGGAGACATTCCAGAAGACTGCAAAAGAGCAAATATAGTGCCCACCTATAAAAAAAAAAAGCCCAGGAAATAAGAACAACCCAGGAAACTATAGACCAGACAGTTTAACTTCTGTGCCAGGGAAGATAATGGAGCAAGTAATTAAGGAATTCATCTGCAAACATCTGGAAGATAGTAAGGTGATAGGTAACAGCCAGCATAGATTCGTAAAGAACAAAGCATGTCAAACAATCTGATAGCTGTCCTTGATAGGATAACAAGTCCTGTAGGGATAAGGGAGAAGCGGTGGTATACCTAGATTTTAGTGAAGCATTTGATACGGTCACACATGACCTTTTTATCAATAAACTAGGAAAATACAACCTAAATGGGGCTACTATAAAGTGGGTGCATAACTGGCTGAATAACCATTCTCAGAGTGTAGTTATTGATGGTTCACAAACATGCTGGAAAGGCATAACAAGTGGGGTTTCGCAGGGTCAGTTTTGGGACTGGTTCTGTTCAATATCTTCATCAACGATTTAGATATTGGCATAGAGACTACGCTTATTAAGTTTGCAGATGATATCAAGCTGGGTGCAAGTGCTTTGGAGGATAGGGTCAAAATTCAAAATTATCTGGACAAACTAGAGAAATGGTCTGAGGAAGACAGGATGAAGTTTAATAAGGACAAATGCAAAGTGCTCCACTTAGGATTGGATAAATGGACGGTAAGATGGATAGAAAGATGGCTAGAAGGCTAGAAGGCCGGGCCCAGCGGGTAGTGATCAACGGTTCGATGTCAGGATGGCGGTCGGTTTCTAGTGGAGTGCCCCAAGGTTCGGTTCTAGGACCGGTTTTGTTCAATATCTTTATTAATGACCTGGATGAGGGGATAGATTGCACCCTCAGCAAGTTTGCAGATGACACTAAGCTGGGGGGAGAGGTAGATACGCTTAAGGGCAGAGATAGGGTCCAGAGTGACTTAGACAAATTGGAGGATTGGGCCACTAGAAATCTCATGAGATTCAACAAAGACAAGTGTAGAGTCCTGCACTTGGGACGGAAGAATCCCAAGCATAGTTACAGGCTGGGGACCAACCAGTTAAGTAGTAGTTCTGCAGAAAAGGACCTGGGGGTTACAGTGGATGAGAAGCTAGATATGAGTCAACAGTGTGCCCTTGTAGCCAAGAAGGCTAATGGCATATTAGGATGCATTAAGAGGAGCATTGCCAGCAGATCCAGAGATGTCATTATTCCCCTTTATTCGGCTTTGGTGAGGCCACATCTGGAGTACTGTGTCCAGTTCTGGGCCCCCCACTACAAAAAGGATGCGGACGCATTGGAGAGGGTCCAGCGGAGGGCAACCAAAATGATTAGGGGTCTGGAGCATATGACCTACGAGGAGAGGCTGAGGGACTTGGGTCTGTTTAGTCTGCAGAAGCGAAGAGTGAGGGGGGACTTGATAGCAGCCTTCAACTTCCTGAAGGGAGGTTCCAAAGAGGATGGAGAGAGGCTGTTCTCAGTAGTGACAGATGGCAGAACAAGGAGCAATGGTCTCAAGTTGTGGTGGGAGAGGTCCAGATTGGATATTAGGAAAAACTATTTTACTAGGAGGGTAGTGAAGCATTGGAATGGGTTACCTAGGGAAGTAGGGGATGGTTGGATGAAATAACATGATCTTGGTAACTAATTGACCATTCATTATCAGTTGGAAATAGGTCAATGGAGGGATGATAGGAGTTGCTATAGGGAACTTTCTGGGTGTCTGGCTGGTGAGTCTTGCCCACATGCTCAGGGTTTAGCTGATCGCCATATTTGGGGTCGGGAAGGAATTTTCCTCCAGGGTAGATTGGCAGAGGCCCTGGAGGTTTTTCGCCTTCCTCTGTAGCATTGGGCACAGATTACAGCTGAAGGACTCTCTGCATGTTGGGTCCTTCAAAGTATTTGAATGCTTCAATATCTTTGATATAGGTGAGAGGATTATTCTAAGAGGGGTGGTTGAGATTCTGTGGCCTGCACTGTGCAGGGGGTCAGACTAGATGATCATAATGGTCCCTTCTGACCTTAAAGTCTATGAGTCTATGAGGAAGAAACCGTCAATTTCACACATACAGAATGGGAAGTGACCCACTAGGAAGGAGTACTGCAGAAAGGGATCTAGGGGTCATAGTAAACCACAAGCCAAATATGAGTCAACAGTGTGACACTATTTCAAAAATGATTCTAGGATGCATTAACGGGAGTGCTGTAAGACGTGAAATAATTCTTCTGCTCTATTCTGAACCGATTAGGCCTCAGTTGGAGTATACCGTCAATTTCACACATACAGAATGGGAAACTCAGCTACCCCTCTGATGCTTCCCATTAGTTCAGCCAAATATTTGATAGGGTAAATTTCTGTCAGCTGTAAGACGTGAAATAATTCTTCTGCTCTATTCTGAACCGATTAGGCCTCAGTTGGAGTATTGTGTCCAGTTCTAGGCACCACATTTCAAGAAAGTTGAGGAGAAACTGGAGAAGGTCCAGAGAAGAGCAACAAAAATGATTAAAGGTCTACAGAACATGACCTACGAGGGAAGACTGAAAGAACTAGGGTTGTTTAATTTGGAAAAGAGAAAGACTGAAAGGGGATATGATAGTGGTTTTCAGGTATCTAAAAGGGTGTCACAAGGAGGAGGGAGAAAATTCTCCTTCGCCTTTGACGATAGGACAAGAAACAATGGGCTTACATTGCAGCAAGGGAGGTTTAGGTTGGACATTAGGAAAAACTTCCTAACTGTCAGGGTGGTTAAACACTGGTATAAATAGCCTAAGGAGGTTGTGGAATCTCCATCACTGGAGATATTTAAGAGCAATTTAGATAGACATCTATCAGGGATGATCTAGATAGTGCTTGGTCCTGCCGTGAGGGCAGGGGCTTGGACTTGATGACCTCTCGAGGTCCCTTCCAGTTCTAGTATTCTATGATTCTATGAATTAAAGGACTAGCAACTCTTTACTTCAGAGCAGAAACTTGAAATTTGGCAATGGTGCTGCATTGCCTTTTGCTGTTTCTGAAAATCTGCCCAAATTTTGCCAAGTTATGAGGCTCTGGAATATATCAATTTACACATGTTCACTAGATACTTAGCATTTGGCATCTCACTTCCACATGTACAAATAATAGTAATAATAAAATTGTTAAAAATCTATTTTAATTTAAAACTAATCCTTTAAATTCTTACAACTCCAAAAGCCAACAGTTTCTTGAACTGTCCATAGATATACCCAGTCTCCCAAAAATAGAATATAGTGAAAACACTGCTCAATTAAAATAGGGAATGTGGACAGGTAGCACTGTATAGAAAGAAACCAAACTTAAGATATATCAATATATGGATGTATAGGATCCTAGAAATTAGAGATGAAAAAGTCTGGATATATCTCTGTGGCTACGTCTATACTGAAGGTATTTGTCGGCAGAATGTCTGCTAATGAAGTGCTCATTAGCATTTGTTGCGCAGTCATTTGCATATCTCTGCCTATGCTTTTTGAGCAAGAAGTTTTTGTGCAAAAACAAGCAGTGTAGTTTTGCAAGTGTCCGTTTTGCACAAAAAAACCCCTTTTGTGCAAGATCCCTTATGCCTCAGAAAAGGGTTTTTTTTGTGCAAAAGGGTTTTTTTTGTGCAAAACAGACCCGTCTACACTGCTTGTTTTCGTGCAAAAACCTCTTGCACAAAAAGCATCAGCAGAGATATGTTAATGACAGTGACAAATGCTAATGAGTGCTTCATTAGCATACTCTCTGCTGACAATTACCCGCAGTGTAGATTAGCCTGAGTATTAAAAGTACTGAATGTCTTTTGTAATGCTTTCTATAAGGGCACAACTGAATTCTGGTATTTTGTATTGAAGACTCATTATGTAAAGAAAGGAGATAAATTCTGGTAGTGAAAGAAATAGAGGAATACAGATAGGAAAACTCCATTCTAAAATCTGTCACTGATTTGCTATATAAGCTTGTCAAGTCACTTAATTGCTCTGTGTCAGTTACTCCATCTGTAATATGTTGTTAATTATGCTTACCTACTTCATGTCAGGTTTGCTTTGTTGAGGTGTGTATGGATTAGGTTTAATTAATATGCTTTGAGATCAGGTGAAAGTCATTATAGAAATACACAAATTATTGACATTATATGCATGTAATAAATGATTGTTTGGACAGGATGGCTGATATATCTCCATGGTATTTTCTAGAAATATCAATTAAAAGGACAGAGAAGGAAAATGTCATGCATAAAACATAACAGAATATGGTAATGATACCAAATATCATAACTTTTCTAAACATTATGAGGGCTCAAAGTAATTGGGGAGGCATGGGGGAGACAATGTGCTCTCATTTGTCTCTGTAGAAATCAGAGTTTAGTAAGCCAATCTGACAATGTGGAGTTAAACCAGCCAGATAACTAGATTTGTGAATCCCAACTTGCTACTTGAAAATTTGCTGCTGGTAATGATGGTGATTAAAGGATATCCAACATTTCCACCTCTACCAATGAGTTAAAGGTTCTTCCTGATGGTATGAGTCTTTCCTTATTATGTTTGGATAGGGGAGTAGCCAAGGCATGGAGCCAGGCTCGCTTTGGAGAAGGCTCAGGCCCAGTGCTGCTGGATGAAGTACGCTGTACAGGAAACGAACTGTCTATAGAACAGTGTCTGAAGAGTTCCTGGAGAGAACACAACTGTGGCCATAAAGAAGATGCTGGAGTTTCCTGCACACCTCTTACAGGTAGTCTCCTGAACAATGAGCATATTAATATTAATTACAAACCCAGGAATGAGAATTGGAAAAGTGATGTGTTTTAGAATTGTAAATTACACTGAAGCCAAGTAACAGTCAGTAATAAAATATGCCAGCCCTGTCCTGCAGTCCAGCTGTAAGCATGTGTGAAACTTGGAACTACAGAAGGTCTTGCTGTTCAGCATGATGCCTTTACATCTCAGAGTGTGTCTAGACTACAGGGTTTTGTCGACAAAAGTGGACTTTTGTCGACAAAACTAAACCTGCATCTACACTACCGCTGAGTTCTGTCGACATAACGTCGACAGAACTCAGCAGTTTTGTCGATGCTGGTAAACCTCATTTTACGAGGAATAACGCCTTCTGTCGACAGAGTTCTGTCGACAGAAAGCGTTATTGCATCTAAACTGTCCTTTGCATCTACACTGCCATGTCGACAAAGCAGCTTGCTTTGTCGACAGAACTGGATGTAGTCTAGACGCTCTTTGTCGACAGAAGCTTTGTCGACAGTATCTGTCGACAAAACTTCTGTCAACAAAAGCCTGTAGTCTAGACGTATCCTCTGTAATCAATCTTTCTTCTATGCAGAAAAGATAAAATTTATGTACAATGGGTCATCGACATTAGAAGCATAATCTGACTCATATATTTACAGCCATATACTGCCTCCATTTTGTAGTACTTCTCTCATCAATAACAATACTATAAACATTTCAGTGAGGAGTGAAGGCTGTTTTTTGGTCACTGTCAAAAAGGTCAGCATTTATCAACAGTCACTCTCCTGTGCAATATACTATAGTACTTTTCTGTAAGTGGTATCCAGATCTCATTGTGCGGTGGGAGTGAATGTTGACATTTTAATGGCACCCGTAGTATATGGCTCTTAAATTGGAAATAAACAGAATATACAAAAGGAATCTGCAGAGCCACAGATACTATGTATACTTTGACATTGCAAATTAAAACCCAGTCCTGCCAACTAGTCATGTGAATAAAGATTAGCAGTCAGTGATTCAAAACAATATCCCATTGCACTTGAACAACTGCTATATATAAAGCATTGCCCACTTGACCAGATATATTATGTGGGGCTTTTTTTTCATCTTCTCTTCAAACATTATTGGCAGATATGATAGCCCAGTGATCTGACCCAGTACACTAAATGTTGCAATTTCTTTTCCTGGGAAATGGGAAGATAAGCGCATCTTAAGCAGAACTGATTCTTGTTTCTTCTTACTTGTTAATGCCACAGATGGTGCAATAAGACTAACAGGTGGGAAAGGCAGTCATGAAGGACGCCTGGAGGTACATTACAGCGGGCAGTGGGGCACAGTCTGTGATGATGGGTGGACTGAGCTGAATACACAGGTGGTTTGTCGGCACCTGGGATTTAAGTAAGATCCTTTTATATGAGACAACTCAACACTTGGCTTAGCAGTACTGATATCCCTTTGCAAAATACTGTCTGCATTCTGCAAACTATTAAATGTGCTGTGTTGCCTTTTTTACCTGGTATTTACACTAGCATCAGTTTTGCACTGTGAAAAAGCTTTGTAAACTGCACTTCAGTAAGAAACACTGTTCAGAACACTGAACAAAAATCAAAAAATTTCCTACTTAATTTATGAAGCTGGCTGTTCTCAGATTTGGAAGAACATTAACACATTGCTGCTCTGAGTCAATTTGATATATTTAGAAATCCAGGGGAAGACTCTCATTGTCTTTACTGGGCTTTGGTCAGAAAGGTCATTTTCAGAATGTGAAGAAAATTCCGCCTTGAGATGAAAAGAAGAAGTTCATAGCTCAGCCATAACTTCATACTATTAAGATCATAAATAGTCACCTACAACTGATGTGTTTCATGGACACACATTGCACTCATGGACCCTGATTCTTCTCTGCAGGATATAAATAACGCCTATTCTCAATCTCAGTGAGAATTACTTTTATTCTGAAAGAGAAGAATTGCGTCTCTGAAATTGTGAAATAATGCATGCTATGTGCAAAGAAATGAGCTGAAATCCATCAAACTCTATCCCCATTTCCTCCAGTCTCTTTTAGACATGCACCAAGTTCCTTTCTAATATCCTTCTTGCTGCCTGAGGCTAACTAGACATATTCTGGAAAGAAAAGCTGCTTTACCATGTTATATTTTACTTTTAAAAGTCTGATTATGCCAATCTTTTGCCTATGGAACTCCCATTAAAGTCACTGAGGCTTCCCCATGGCATAGGTAATTCAGGATCTAGCTAAAAAAAATTAACAGCCATGTTCTGGAACACTATTTTTTAAATCCATCTTTTACAAAATTTCCATTACGATGCCGTATTTTTACTTTGCATCATCTTTGCAATTGTATCTGAGTACAGAGATAACTATGAGCAAATGGAATCTCTTTACTAATATATATTGTCTTTATCTTGCTTCATTTATTCACCCTCTGAGGATATAATTCATTATTCATAATACAACAGAAAGGAATTCCACAGTATTTCCAGGAATGTGGCATCTCCAGATAAGTCAAGCAGAGGTAAAGAGCTAATTACGAAAGACAAAGATTGATAATAAATAATGACAGAGAAGGGAGTACAGAATGTAATGTTAATAGGGCCACAATTCAGCAAGGCACTTGAGCTCACACTTACCTTTAAAAACATGCCTAAGTTCCAAACTCAGTGCTTAAGTGCATTGAGAAATGAGAACCATACAGGTAACGTTTTCAAGTAGGGATAGAAAAGGTTAACTGGTTACCCAGTAACCATTAGGCTTACTGGAATGCTTACCAGGTAACCAGTTGGATGGAAAACTGCAGCAGGCTGGAGCAACCCTGGCTGAGTCCAGCCAACCGTGTGAGGGCGGCAGGCAGGGTTGTGCCTGCGTTGTTGGGCCAGTGGGACTTCAGCCACATGAGGGCAGTAGGTGGGGCCTCAGCTGCTCCAAATTGGTTTGGGCGGCCTGGCAGGGCCCTGGCCCCCAAGCAGTGCCCCATCCTTGGCTGTGCTGGCAAGCAGGTGGTGCTCTGGTCCCCGCTGCTCTGGGCTGGCAGGCAGTGCCCTGATCCTGGCCACTCAGACTTGGCCCAGGCAGGACAGTGGGACCCTGGTCCCACTGGAGCAGTCAGGGCAAGCTGGCAGGACCTCAGTCACGCTGAAGTAGCCTGGCCCTGCTGGGGCAGTCAGCCCTCTGCGACTTAGCCCAGATAGGCTGGTGAAACTCTGGCCTTGACTGTGCTGGAGTGGCCCAGGCAAAGCTCAGCCCCGGTTGCTCAAAGTCAGCCCAGGCAGGCTCATGGGATCCCAGCCCAGCTGCTTGCCAATGGTTAACCAGTTAAACATTATAATTTTAGTCATTTAATTGGTTAACTATTTAATTGGTCATTTACATCCCCATTTTCAAGATTGTTTCAATATGCCAGTCATTCTTTAAGAACACAATGAACCATGATTTTCTCTGAAAAAGGCATACATAGCTTTAATGTCAGCTGAACTTTCTTTTGCCAGAGATACATTTGCCTATTCTCCTGTGCTTGAGAGCAGTTGGTTTTATCTACTCACAAAGAATCATTTCCTCTTTGGTGCTGACGTTTCATATATCCCCTGTGCAGTATTGCTTATAAATTGTGCATACATGTTATCTAGGTATGGGAAAAGTGCATCAGAAAGATACTTAGAAGAGAGCTCAAGGCCTATCTGGTTGGATGATGTCAGCTGCTCAGGAAAAGAATCAACCATCCTTCAGTGCTCAAAGAGAGAGTGGGGAAAGCATGACTGCAGCCATCAGGAGGATGTCAGACTAACCTGTCACCCAGATGATGATAGCCATAGACTCTCTCTGGGTAAGGCACTTTTGTAACTAATGAATATCAGTATTCCTCTGTGTACAAATTGAGGAAAAATGAAGCCTCTTTAAAAGATACTACAAATTTGAATCTCCACTTATTCTTTTGCCTGTATGTAGTTAGGCTGTCAATCAGACAGAGGTAGGCATGTATGTATGTGAAGAGAGAAAGCTCTTCCCTTGAAGAGCACATGGAGCTGGTAGGCAGTGTTGCACATGGGAACAATGTGAATCAGTAATGCAGAGAATTGCAGTGAATCCAGAGCCAATAAAACTCTTTGTCTGAATGGGATTTTAGTCTCAGTGAACCCCTCCTGATAACATTGATACAAGTTGGACCTCCCTGGTCTGGCACCCTCGGACATGACTGGTCCCAGATGATGGATTTTGCCAGATGATGGGAGGTCATTTCTAGCCCATATGCCACCAGCCCCCTCCAGCCCTGGCCCCACTGCTGGCCTCCCAGCCAGCTCCCTCTCTCACTGGCCTTCGCTGCTCTGCTGAGTAGGCCAGCCACCTGTGTGCACTGGGCTCCTGCTGCAGCACACAACAGCCCTGCCACCTCTGTGCACATCCGGCTCCAGCTGCAGCATCCAGCAGCCTTGCTGCCTCTGTGTGCACTGGGCTCCCGCTGCACTACTGGGTAGCCCCACTATCTCATGAGGGGCTTCTACTGCCCTGCTGGGAAGTCCCACTGCTGTGCTTTGGGCTCCCACTGCCCTTCCAGCCTGCCTGGCTCCCAGACGCTAGCTCTCTACCAGGACTCTCTGGTCCTGAAATGTTGCTGGACCAGAGAGTCCCCATTAAGAGAGTTTCAATCTGTTGTACTTTTCAAGTTGTAATAAATGGAAAATCAGTAGTATGGACTTAGGTTCTTGCACTCCATCTGAACAGAGATATTGGTGAAACAAAGGACATTCAGAGACATAGAAATGGACTATGAAAATGGCTGGAGACATAAGATTTACTTCTAAATCATTGTCATTATTAGTGATCTGTACTGTATTACAGAAGAGTCTAGACATCCCCTCTAAAATAGATGTACTGAATTTGGAAAAGATACAGAAAGGTCAACAAATGATTACAGGTAAAGAACAGCTTCCATTGATGAGAGAGAAACAAGACTGGGACTTTTCAGCTTGGAAAATAAATGATTAAGAGGTGGGGGATAGGTTAGAGGTATAGCAAATTATGGTGTGGAAAAATAGAAGAAATAAATGTTATTTATTCCTTCATTATAACATAACACAAGAAGATCACCCAATGACATTTACTGGCTGCAGCACTGGGCGGTGGAGGGGGAAATGGGAGGAAAGCCCCTGCCAACCAGGAAGGCTGAGGAGAGAGAGAAGGTCCCTGCCACTTGGGGGGTGGGAGGGGAAGGGGGTTGGAGAGGAAGAGGAGGGGAGAGACAGAAGGCCTGCCAATCAGGGATAGGGTGGGGAGGGGAGAAAAGCCCTGCTGGATGGGACTCCTCACCCTGAGCCCCTTCTCAACCCCCAACCCTCACTCTTGTATCCCACACATTCCCAGCCCCCTGCCCTGAGCCCCTTCTCAATCCAACCTTGACTCCTGTACCCCCACATCTCCAGCCTCCTGCCCTGGCAGACCTGCACAATGCCAGGCAAATGTTCTAGTAAATTTTATAACGAAGATCCTCTGTCCCTATCTGGGTAATGAGAGTATAATTTACACTAAAATTATGTTCTTCCAGTATAGCACTTCATTACAACAGAAGAATAAATATGAAATTGACATTTACTATAATGTTTCTTGTTGGACAGAAGACAAAGGCTATATTGTTACCATATGTTTCCTAACACTGGAGAAAACATTAAATATTTCCTTTACAGAGGAATTCAGTGGAGAAAGAGTATGAGAAATAAGCTTTTTAAATACAAACGTTAAAGGGAGAGACACAACTTGTTGAAGACAAACCAGATTTTTGTTAAAATTCCTCTGCAGATATTCATTTGTAATTCATTTTATTTCATTTAACAAGTTTTGCTTATGTATTTAAATGTTTCCCATAGAATGGTGAGAAACCAAAACCTGAAATATAAAGCTTTTTTAAAGAACAATTCTGTTCTAAAGCTTTTTTCACTTTTAATAAGATGACCCTGGGTGAATTTAGCCCAAAGGTTAATTCCAAATTATCACTAGTTTTACTTAGAGCAAAATCTCCCCCATTATTTGTTCTCTCTCATGAACAGGCAGTCATTTTTACTGGTTTATTAGCTAAGTTGTCTTCAACTGGTGGGATAATGAGGAGGAAGAATAACTTGTCCAATTATTGAAAAAAACTCTAAAGTATTAGGAGTATACCAAGTACTACATACAAAAAGTTTTAGGAGCTGGTTCTCATTTACACAGAGTAGATGGGTCTCAAATTGAATTTATGCCTACTTTAAAGCCCTTGCACTGCCCAAGAGCTGAAAAAAGGTATTAGTGTAAATGAGAATTATACCCTTAGGACCTTTTTATGACAGTATTTTCAAAACATGCAGTCCAAATAATTAGCTAGAATAATAATATATGCAATTGGCCTTTAGGTAAGAGACCATAATTAATAAAAATATCATTAACATTAATGACTGGAAGGCTGATTTTGCATTATCAGATTTTCTGAATGAGAGTATATGAACAAACAATTTAAAAAGCCAACAAAAATCTATAGGATTTTTCAGTTGGACCTACTCTGTTTAGTTTTAATAACGTTAATATTTCAGACTATAGTAGTCAACATGCTGGAGAATACTGTGTATATGTAATGAGTGCTTAGTAACATGAATCCTCTCCAGTACTGGGGATAGTACATTTGCTGCTGAGTGAGTATACTCTTAGGTAGGCACTTTGTGTGAGTGATTGTATTTATCAGTGCGGTTTTGCTAAATCCATCTCGAAAAGCAGATGGGTGCCATGTGGGTATAGACTATAACATGAGAATCAACCAAATTGTTTTCTACTGCTGAGGAAAGAATTGGGCTTTGCAAGTTACAGTCAAGTTACAAGCTGTGCTCTGTATTTATATATAATGGAAGAAACAGATGAATTCTACAGCTTAAAACATATGGAATAGCGTGGTGCTTCATAATATGGTGCAATGTGTATAAAATGCTTCATGCTGCCTGGCATGGTAAAATACGTAAATACTTCAACAGATTATATTAAAGTGGAAATCTTTTTGAACATAAGCGTCAGTTGACCCCCTCTCTGGAATAGGATGAAAATGACCTAACATGCTACTTTTTGTTTCTACTGTTGTGCAACTTATTCCCAGGTCCTCCCATCAGGCTGATGGATGGTGAGAATAAGAAAGAAGGACGCGTAGAGATTTTTATCAATGGCCAGTGGGGGACAATTTGTGATGATGGATGGTCTGATAAGGATGCATCTGTGGTCTGTCGACAGCTTGGCTACAAGTAAGAAAAATCCTTGAACTGTTCTTCTGATTACCATATATGATTGCATAAAGTCTGTGCAACTGAGTATCACTTCATCAAGTTTCACTAGGTAATACTTGTCTGCTTAGCATACTTTTACTCTGCTGTACTTGAAATATACAAAAGTCATGCATACCACAGTTTTACTATGTCTTCATAAGGAAGCTAATATTCCTCAGAAAAGGGGTAGTAGTGCCAAAGCATAACTGTCTTTACTATGTTCAGATAACAATCGAAGTGTAGGTTAAAAGCAGTTCTAGAAAAATCTATTTAATAAAGCCAAATCTTTCAAGATAACTAAGCTACAGTATAAATACTATATTTTACTTGTTATTTATGTAGCTGTTCCTACTATATATGCACAATAGGTCAAATTCTCATTTACACTCAACTTCAGTGAGTTGCACCAAAGTAAATAAGAGAATTAGGCTCAGCATATCTGCTGAATGTTCTTCCCTGCTTTGAACTATTTTTAAATTACCTCTTTGGTTATAACTGAGCCCTTATTTCGAAATAACAAGCGGAGCATCCACACTATCAAGCCCATTATTTTTTAAATAAAGGACTGGTTATTTCAAAACAGTGGTAGTGTAGATGCTCCACTGGTGCTCTTTGAAATAACTACTCTCCAGGGTCATTCAAAGTATTTACTCCCCAGTGCTTCCTGGGGCTCTAAGTCAAGGTAGAGGGTCCACATTCAGGATATATCTAGACTACATTGGGTTTTTTTTTTGAAAAAACTGCCTTTTTCAAAAAAACGTTACCTGCGTCCACACTGCAATCGTGCTCTTTCAAAATTAAATCTAAAGAACTCAGGGTTTTTTCCGACATTGGTAAACCTCAAATTACAAGGAAGAATGCCTTTTTCAAAAGAGCTCTTTCGAAAAAAGGTGTGTAGATGCAGCACAGGAACATTTTTTGAAAGAAGAGGCAATCGAAAAAAAGTACAGGTGCCCTGGTGGCCATTCTGTGAAAAAGCAATCAGGGTTTTCTTTCAAGAGAGCGTCCATGCAGTCTGGACGCTCTCTTTCGAAAAAGCAGATCACCTTTTTGATCCAGTTTTGAAGTGTGAATGCTCTCTATCGAAAGAAGCTTTTTCGAAAGAGCTTTTTCAAAAAAGCTTCTTTCAAAAGAAGCTTGCAGTATAGATGTACCCTCAGGGAGCCTGCCCTGGACTAATTGCACCTGTGGACACGCTATGTCAAAATAGTTATTTTGGGAGTTATTTCATTTCAAAATAATTTCCTAGTGTAGACTTGCTTTGAGTTTGATTTCTAGTCTTCCTAGAGCACTAATGAAGTTCAAGGAAATTAACTGTCATATCATTCAGGAAGGGAAAGATTATGCAAACAAGAAGAAAATTAACATTCAAAAGAATACACTATGGTGTAGTCTTGAGCTAAGTGATACAGATAATGCCCATTAATGTTAACAGAAATGATTATGTGTATCTCTGAATCTTAGAGATCCTTTGGCTTTTTTAAGTTTTATTTTTATTGTAACAGTTGTTTTGGGGCTTGGGTTCTAAATGACAATAATCTGAATTTATATAATACTTTTGATCCCGAAAGATTTTAAACTGATGCATGTGGCTGCAATTTATTTATGACCTGAATTGTGGCCATGTTTGAGGTGAAACAAAGGTAATATTTAACAGTTCAGTGTAACATTACACATTAGAAAAGGAAACTTAGTACAGAATATCTATCCTAATATAACTACAAAAGAGTTATATAAGGTCAGACAGTAAAACCAGCTTTGAATTTGGATAGAGTAGGGACATTGATCTTACTCATGCAAAGACCTCAATGAAACTGTTTATTGTTTTTTATAAACTATTATTGTATTAATATCTGTGCGCTGTGATCTTGAATGATGTCAAATAGTTGTGAAATCTTAAGTAGTTTTAATTAAGGATGTTAGCATATAGTCGAGTAAACGATAAGCCTACCGACTACAAGTACTCCCCTCCTCCCTGCTGCCTCTGTAACAGCATCCCATGGAGCAGCCTTTGTCTGCAGCAATCATGAGCTAAAGAACCTTATAGATTTGTATTATTTGCTACTGAATCATTTAATCTGCTTCTTCCTCAGCTTAATTAGACTTTTCATATTTGTCACAGACATACTAAATCCACTCATTCATCCCCACATCCCATTTTTAAGCCAGCTCAAAGATATAATTTGATTCTTAGTTTATATTTTGTCATTAAAGGGGGTCAAAATTATGGAAGATAACATAGTAGGGTACATATCAGCTGAAGGATTTGGGGCAAAATACAAATCTTAGATATTTGGGGATTCTGATAATTGGAAGAGTTAGCCAACACACTGCCCTGAGGGCTGGCTTCCTTGCTAATTCAGTAGATGATACAGTTACATTCCAGAAGCATGACTTTGTTCTTATTTGCAGCCATATATATGAGAATGATCATATCTCAGGACTTCACTACATATTTATCTGTTTGCTTTGGTTCAGACTTCAGTCTGAGCGCTCATTTGAATGTTCCATTTCAAAGTTAGGATGTTCTATTTACACACCTAAGTTTAAAAATGGGGATCTGTGTGTGCTGCTTTTCAGAGACAAAAACAAGCGCTTTTCTGGAAAGTGTTAGCAAAGAGCTAACTACTGGAGCTGACATCAGTTGTCATTTAGAATGACCAAGGAACTAAAAGTTCAAAAACTTAAGTATTATATTCTACTTCCATGAATGTGATTTACACTTACAGCACTGCTACTGGGGACTGTAGGTCTGATTTCACATTTTCCAGGAAAAAAAAAAAAAGCCTGTAAATCATACATGCACATTTTTTACTCAGGCCAAAAGGTATGGGGAGATTTCCTTAAAATTCAGATTTATGCAGCACAGAGTAAAACAAATAAATTAATAGTTGTACTATACATATTACTCCCAAGGTTAACAAGGAACTATGTTTCTATTTTTACAAAATAATCTTATTAACTTTTTATTAAGATTTGTTTCTGGAGCTGAATCTGGAATACCCAAAGTGTCTAGGGTCCAGTTAATAGTACTTTTAAAGATCTGTCATTAAGCCATCTTGCATACTTTTAGACTAAAGTTAGTAGCAGAAAAACAGTCTGAAGAACTTTAAAAAGCCATCCTCTAATGGGAAAAGCAGTTGTAAAATAAAAAATTAATGGTGGCTATTAGGGATATGGAATATCTCTCTCTATATATATAAAAAAACTTTTCCTGTGGGATGACAGAGTGACCTGTCTCTGTGGTGCTCAGGCGCTATGTGGCCTCCCTTCTCCCCCTCCAGTGCTCAGTCTGCCACGCTGCAGCCTTGGCCTGGCCCAATCCTCCCCCCCCCCCAGTGGCCAGAGGGCTGGGGAGGTCTCAGCTGGCACCCCCCAGCATCCAAGGGGGATAGAGCTGGGGCTGGCGAGGCCGGAGTGTAGGGAGTAGAGCTGTGGCTGGCAAAACCTCGGCCCTCCCCAGCAGCTGCGTTTTGTGTGTGTGTGTGTGTGTGGAAGAGAGAGGGGGCTGGTGAGGCTGAGATGGGGAGGGGATGGAGTTGGGGTTGGTCCAGTCTTGGCCCTGCCCGGCAGCTGGGGGGAGGCCAGGGCTGCCACAACATGGCTTGGCCCTCTTCGGCAGCCGTGCAGAGAGCTGGGGCTGCTTACCTCCAGAGAGAGGGGGGTTGGCGAGCATAGCAAGTGGAGGGTGGAGGGGGGAAGAGGCAGGCCGCTAGTACATATATATGAAATGAAGATTAGAGTATTTTTTCAGTACAGTTTTCGTAATGTAGCAGAAACTTCCATTCCACATATTTTATGCAGATTTTCTATACGAGAGGACAGATCTTTTCAAGATATTAACTGGAATATCCATGCATATCATTGTGCATCTATGGAGTTGGTGGGTCTAATCTACCATTCTGAAGTAAAGATCCCTGCTTTTTATCTGTTATTCTTTTATATACCTACATAATGCTGAATTCAGCATTCCTTCTTGTTCTACAGTAATAGTATCACTGGTGGCACAGACAATAGAATTTTCCAAAGTGTTCTGCATGAACTGAACTCTGCCACCATTGATATTGCTGAGCATTTTACCACTGTCTTCAGTATGAATAGAGGTAGGCCAATAGTGCGCACTTTTGAAAATCCCATTAGAACCCTTGGCTGGGTGCCTGACTTAATAACAAATAGGAACTTTTAAAATAAATAATGTTTATTTCTAATGGTTTACAACTACCATGTATTTGGTTAATATATTGGGATCTTAGTATCAACATGTATTTTAGCAAAAACTCTGTAAAATTCACTTTCAATTTGTGGTTATCCTTCTAATCTACACTATGGAAGAAATTTTGGTCTCAGTTTCTCTGGATTTAAACTGATGTGAAAGAGGTCAGATTTTTTCCTTTTATTTTTCTGTACTGGACTGTTTTAGGTTTACAGGGGGTTGGATGCATTTGTACTGCTTGCCATACACCACTATTTTTAGCATACTAGTGTGTGTCATTCTGCAATTCACCTTCTCATCTACTGAAGACATACCTCAAGTGCAACAGCAATCTGGGACTGGTGTTTTGTTGCTTTTTGCTTTAAATATAAAGGCATTGTTTTTTTTCTATTACAATAAAGCTACATCTACACTGCAGCACCATTTGTATCCCAAAATAGTTTTCCGTGACTTTTGAGCACACCCATTATTTTGAAATATAACGGGCTTGCTATTCCAATGTCCCTGTAAACCTCATTCCACGAGGAGTAAGAGATGTTTCAGAATAGTGATTTATTTCAAAGTAAGTGCCGTGTAGATAGCGCCAAATTTTGAAATAAGGTATTTCAAAATTGACTTGAAATAAGCTACATAATTTGCGTAGCTCAAATTGCATAGTTTATTTCGAGCTATGGTTGCACTATTGACGCACCCTTAGTGTCCTACTTCAAAGAGCTTTTTTAAATTAATAGGATTTCCAAATGAACACAAGACTCCATTTTAATTACAGTGTCCCCACAGAGCTCATTGTGTTACTGTAAATGCCATGAACCTGGAAAGTATCAGAGGGGTAGCTGTGTTAGTCTGAATCTGCAAAAGCGGTGAGGAGTCGCTCCTACACTTCAGTTAGTCTATAAGGTGCCACAGGACTCCTCGCCGCATGAACCTGGAAAGAATCGCTGAGATGGTACCTGAGGCCCAGATCCTCAAAGGTATTTAGGTCCCTAAGCACTAATTTCAGTGGGAGTTAAATACCTTAATACAACTGAGGCTCTGGGGCCTATCCTACTGCCTGGGGCAGCTGTGAGATACCTGCTCTGGCAATCTAACATATGTAGCTGGAGTGAAAGGTGGTAATTAAGAAACATATACACTTTCTGATAAAGATGGACTGAAAGCTGTTCTTTTAGCATGCTCTAGCACAAAATTGAAATGCCCAAGACCTAAATACTATTCGATATCAAAATCTCCCAATTAATTACTTTTCCCCTTAAAGCAGTACTATTTGTTGCTGAGCATCATTAGAATTAAGTCTTAAAGCCTGTTCTCTGGGAGAAGTCCTTTTAAAACTAATTTTTAATTAAGCAAGTGCCAATTAAGTGGAGTGCACTGAATAAACTCCCATGCCTAGCAACTATCAGCAATGCGGCAGCCATCACCAGTGCATGGCAGCAGTAAGTTTCCTAATGTGGTGTGGAAGAGCTCCGATGAAACATACACTGAGAAACTTGACCAGTAAGCACCACTATAAGACTGGCAGAACGTAAAGGTATTTAACTCTCCCTCCTCGAAGCATATATCTAGTACTGAGCTGTGCTATCTGCCCAGCAGATGCAACTGAAGATCAGGACAATTATACGTATCCTGGGGTATTCATTACTTCCTTCTCTTGTGGGATGGCTGGGAGAAAAAGATGTGTAATAACCCTGGCTACCACAAACACACAGTTAATTAAACATGCTATGCAGAGATAGATGAACATGTTATGCATCCTATTTAGATGTGCCTGGGGGAAGCAAAGTCTGACTGATACATTAAAATAACTTCTCTATTAGATTATGCTACAGAGATTAATTTTCCATTTTATCAACTCAGCACTTAGATATAAAACCAATGTTATATGGTAACTACATGATCTACATGATGGTTTGTATGGCTAGAAAAGATCCAACTCTAAATTTTAATTATTGCAAAAGAATTATTGCAACAATGAAATTTCTCTTTAAGTGTATTATTATTTTACTTCAAACAAAAGTACACATGCTGCAATTTGAGGGTTATATTCTGTATTAACTATTAGTGATTTTCTGTGCCATGATTTATGTTAATAGTTGCCATTAATGTATGGTATTCTTGAAGGTATAGTTCTTAGTTAACTGTAGAGCTCCTTTCTTAGCCAATTTAGTTTTCTGAAAGAATTGCAGCATAAATAAATTATTTTATCATACACAGATGCTGAGTTTAGGCAAGGATTAAACAGATTATGAAAATCCTTTCCATAGAGCTTTTTAGCAAAAGCTAGGAAAACATTTTATAAACATTAACTAATGAATCCTCCAAAGATAGTTACTATGCTAGTGCAGGGGTTGGCAACCTTTTCAAACCAAAGAGGCAAACCACATCAAAATTCAGAACAAGTGGTCAAGAAAGAGCCAGTATAAAAATATCTATTTGCATGACTGAAAATATACAACTTAATATTACTAATAATTGACATACGGATTATCGGGAGGAAAGATAGCTCAGTGGTTGAGCATTGGCCTACAGAACCCAGGGTTGTGAGCTCAGTCCTTGAGGAGGCCATTAGGGATCTGGGGCAAAATCTGTCAGGGATAGTACTTAAGTCCTGCTGTGAAGGCAGAGGACTAGATTCAATGACCTTCCAAGGTTTCTTCCAGTTCTAGGAGATAGGTGCCCCCATTCACTTTTTTTATTAGCATAAATGAAACATTGTATTCAAGAACTTTATCTAATGGGGCTTCTGTTGCTGCATTTTTTTGGACATTTCTTTGTAGTTTATATCATAACTGGTCAATTTCAGCTTCCTGAATGTATTCAGGCTGTCTTCTGTCAATCTTGAGAGCAAATTGACTTTGAAGTGATTCATATGAGAATCTGCTCTCACATATAGATGGAGCCAATCACTGAAAGTTAGGTCAAGCTGACATTCTGCATGTTGTTGTATGTGACAAAGTTCTTTCCAAGGTTGCAGAATCAGATTATCATCATGCTCCAATATCTTTGTCAACCCACTTGTGTAGATTTGCCATTTCTGCATGTTGTCGAGCAAGGCATCCTAAATCAGAAGTCAGCTTGACGAATTTTTTCACCCAGATATCTGACTCCTTGAAATCTGCTATTTTCATTTCCAAATCATTGCCTGAGATGCCTGGAAGGAGTGTCAAATCTAATTCTTCAACAGGTGCTTTATGGGCAAATCAAACTTAAACAAAGCACTGTGTTTGCAAAAGTCAACTAAACAAGACTTGAATGTCATTAGGAGCTCAGAAATAAACACAGCAAGCTGCTGTAAATCAAGGCTGATATTTGGATTCTCTCTGATACTAATCACTAAACATTCATAATCTTTCAAAATGTGCCAGTCTGCCCATCTCATTATATTTGTTGAAGACAGTCAATTTTTACTCAAATCCAAACATTACATTTCCAAGTTTGGTTCCACAGATTGCACACAAAGTGCATCCTGATGCACCATGCAAAGAAAGTTCAGAAGTGGGAAGTTCAGCTGTTCTGACAACAGTAAGGAATGCCCTGTATTTGCCAACCATGCTTGGTGCACAGACAAAAGATTATCCAACTGTATTTCTTTTTCGTTTACAAAGTTGATCACAGTTTTAAGGATGTCTTCGCCTCTTGTTTGATTTTTTTAGTGGTAATATTTCAATCCTTTCTTTGTGCACAGCATTTTCACAAATATATTGTCCCAGAATACAAAACTGATCAACGTCACATATGTCAGTTGTCTTGTCCAAAGCAAATGAAAAAAAAGTAGCTGTTCTCAAATTTTGATTTGTTCCTTGTCAATTTGATGGGCCGTTTTCACAGCTCTGTTATAAACTTTATTTTTTGCCAATAATGGTATGTCTTGAATTTTCTGTAAGATTTTGTCGTTGTGAAACTAGTTAAATAGTTCATGACCAATTTTTAGCATGCATCTCTTCACATAATCCCTGTCAGTGAAAGGCTTCCCCTCTTGAATAATGCTGAATGAGCCTGCAAAAACTTGTGGAATTAAGTGCCCACTTTTTTTTTTTTCGACCATGCCAGTAGGCTATTTTGTCCAGTGTTCATTTTTCGCTGCAACTCCTAGCAGGCTTTTTTTCATGTGTCACCCTTGGGTATTTTGTAGCAAATGCTGCATGTTTCATCATGAAATTATTTTATTTTGTTTTGTTTTGTTTAAGAGCAATCTCTCACTACAAATGAGATAGTGTGGAGATCCAGACCTATCCACAAATACATACAAGTCTGTTTACTCCTGAAAATTTTGGTACTCGTCATCTCTCTTTCTCTTCACCATTTTTAGAGTTAGGGGGTCACAGAGTTCACCATCATGTATGATTGATGGAAAGATTTCTTGACCTATCAAATAAAAAGAGAATATGCATAACCCTCAATAAGTAGAGAGGATGGTTGTTAAAATGAACAGTTACAGGTGAACTAGACAACAAGATCATATTGACATGAGTAATTGCACGTTTTTAAATTTTAATTTAGAAAGTTGGGTATATTTTGGGAACGACAAAAAAGCCATATTTGGCTATAGTGCCATAGGTTGCAGACCCCTGTTCTAGTATATAGATTACGTTTAAGGCAATGAGAAGATAAGTGACTTGTCCAAAGTTCTGCAGTGAACTGGTAACAGAATTTGGAATAAAATCTCAGTCTTAATCCTTGGTACTGCACTCACATCCTTTTCTATATATTTCAGCGTAGGCAAATGTAGGACAATACTTAAAAACATTTTAATTAAACAATGGTGTTCTGCTTTCAGAGGCCCAGCTAGAGCAAGGACTATGGCATATTTTGGGGAGGGCAAAGGACCAATCCATGTGGATAATGTGAAATGTACAGGAAATGAGAGATGCTTGGCAGACTGCATAAAACAGGATATTGGAACACACAACTGCCGTCACAGCGAAGATGCTGGCGTTATCTGTGACTACTTTGGCAAGAAGGTCTCTGGGAACAGTAATAAAGGTGAAATACTTTTGTGAGATTTATGAAAAACTAGGTATATTAATTATGATGATAGCTGGCAAAAGAAATGGAAAGAAGCGGACCTCAAGGAGAAAAACGTATCTATAGAAAAAAAGCTGAGAAATGCTCAGTATATTAAAATCTATGAGTCAGGTGCTTGCTCTCTCTGTAAGTCTGACAGTACAAAGGAAACACAAAGACAATTTAAATGGCACAGGGGAATCCTCTAGAAGTGTAACCCCGTGGAGACCATTAGTTAGGTACAGCCAGGGCTTTAAGTTATGCTTAAGTAAAATGAGATCAAGGGAGGCATAAAGGTGAGTGAACAACCACCTTTGTCCTCTCCCACCAGCTGTACCAAGTACAGATTGGAGACAACTAAGGAATGAAACCCATATAGGGTGAAATTCTGCTCTCACACCAGTGTAAATTTGGGATTATTTAATCATATGCAGTGTGATTATATCCATGCTAGCCTCAGGGCATTAGCGACACAAAATGGATGAGTAATACTGTGTATTAGACCAATTTCTGTTGGAGAGAGAGACATGCTTTTGATCTTAAGAGTTTATATAGGCAGTTAGGACATGATTCTGCAAGGTGCTGAGTGCCCTCACTATCCAATGAGACCTGAAGAGCTCTGTGTAAGCACAAAAACTTCTGGTCCAATAAAAGGTATTACCTCATTCACTCTGTTTTTCAAATTTGTAGAAGTCAAAGGTGTGACTCCAGATTTACACTGATGTAACTAAGATCAAAATATTGGTTTTATGTTTAAATCACTTTAGATATGAAAAATAATGAAAGATTTCCAGCTCTGTGTGTATAATTCATATTACAACCTTCACATTTATTAAGAGATTCTTTTTAGTGGATCGCATGCAAAAGGATACCTTGTTCTTACACTGAGAACTGAAAAGTCCAAAGATTATGGTTTGAATAATTGTTCAGATTTCATTTTGGGAATGGGGGTAGTGCTCATTGTCTACAGTCCTGAAAATATTCTGAGCCAGACAGAACCTTTAAAAGCTGTGGATCAAAAACCTATGTATGTGAGTCTTTTTATGGAGAAATAACATTGTGTAAGTCAATTACTGACACAAGAAACATAATAAAATACACTTTTCTTTATCTGCTGTTTGGGAGTTCAAAGCCTAAACCACATTTTCTATTTAGATTCCCTTGCTTCCGTTTGTGGATTGAGGTTGCTGCATCGTAGACAGAAGCGGATAATTGGTGGTAAAAATTCTTTAAGGTAAATGACATTCAATACTGTAAAAGTCACTTTTAGTATAAAAGTGTGGGATGTACAGTTGCCATAAACCATCAGTCTTGTTTAGCTACTGATTAAATTTTTTGCTTCTCATGAAATAAATGCAGATTAACAATGTGAATTTTGCTATGTTGGGCTTAGTTGGGCACAAGGAACATAATTTTGTTCAGGTATAGTTTTTTTTCAAGTCAGTTAGAACTGGTTGAATTTTTCACCCGTTAATTCAGAGTGAAGCATAGCTTTGTGCAGCCCCATCCAAAGGCTGGTTTTCCAGCTTACATCTCTTCATCTTCCGTCTCTGTGCCAGGCTCTGTGGTTCATTGTGACCTTTCTGTGTATAGTAGTCACACATACTATACACTCACACTGTGGTAATACTATACATTCACAATGTAACTTTGGTAGATTAACTTTTCCCCGCTGCCTGCTCTCTGCCAGAGCCTTTCCTGGCTGCCAGCATCTTTCTTGCAATGCTTAAAGCACTCCAGCAGTGGAAAGCTGCTGGAGTGTTTCACTGTAGCAGGAAAGAGCTCCAGCAAGGGGAACTACCAGAGCCCTTCCTTATAGCTGCAGTCTTTTCCTTCAGTGTTGAAAGGCTCCAGCAGTGGAAAAGCCTTTGTAAATGGAAAGACACAACTTGAACAAGCAAAAAGCCATGGAGGTTATGTATTCAAGTACATACCCACATCCTTTCCTCTACTTGCTTAAGTCATGCCTCACCTTACCATCTGCAGTGTTATTTATACATGTGATAGCATACTATGCACATTACATGCTTTTAAAGGAGGCACCCTGTAATACACAGTAATTATACATACACTTCCATAGGAGCCACTCTGCCTATAGTACTTCTTGTACAGCCCTCATATGGGACGTAGAGAATGGTTGTTTTTATTTCTCGTATCTTTGAGAGCCATTTGATGGCAATATACAATATTCAGCATTTGAGCCACTGAACACACAAATTTTATTTCATGTTTCAATATCTTGAATGACTGTGGAAATCTTACAGATGTCTAATGAGAATGCTTGAGATTTTGAATTCAAAATTTGCTTTATGTGAATACTCTAATATATACTTAAATGTTGTTTTGAATTAATATTCCTACTGATGAATTTGTTCACTGGAGTATTCATAAAAAGCTCACACAAAAGGAGCAAGCATGCCTTCAAAGCAAATCCGAAAACCAGATAAAAAAATCACTGATAAATGTTAGCAGTATTTACCAAACTCGGTGGCTGATATTGCATTTCACTTTTAGGTACATTGTAAATTTAATCTTTAAACATATTAGATTACCCTTCTTAGAAAACAGCCATTGCAGTTTCTCCTGAGAAGCAAATCCAGACCAATAGCTATGGACCATATAGATGGATCTTTGGGACTGTCATGAATTTAAAAAAAACCTAAAAGGCTAAATAATGAAAGAAGGTTGTGTATTATTAATTCTTTAAATACATTTTGCTTACATAAAATATACTTCTTTGATGATGATATATCTGTGAAATAGGACTTTTAATTACAGTAAAACTCCAATAGTCCGGCATCCAGTAGTCCGGCACTCCTGATAGTGCAGCATCAAAATGACAAGGGCCTAGTGAGTGAGCTTCTGCAAAAAATGAGTCACAAGGTAACAGTGGCAGCAACTGAACTGAGCGAAAAGGGTAAAAAAGGGTTAAAAAAACTAAAACATTACAGTATATTGTATACAGTATGTACAATAAAAAGGGTTTAAGAACACTTTATATACTGTATACAGTATACATAACTATTTTATAGTACCTCCTGATATTCCGGCATATCTGATAATCCGGCACCACCTAGGTCCCATAGGTTCCGGATTATCGGAAGTCTACTGTAACTAGTAGTTGGTTCTTAGCCATATTGGTATATGACATGCACCCAGACTTGTGTAATTGCAGTTACAGGTAGACTAGTTTTCTTAATATTTATGAACTATGACAACCACAAAGACTATATGAATACAGCAGTAAAGAACAAGATACAAGGAATTTGATGGCGAATGATACAACAAATATTAAAGTTTTTATATAAATAAAAGCGGTGGACCATCTAGAATACCATGTACAGTATCGGTTACCTCAACTCAAAAAGGATATTGCAGAACAGGGGTGGAGTTCAGAGAACAACTCCTAAAATGACAAAAATAATATAGAAAAAAAAATGACATATGCAGAGATTGAAAAGATTGGGATTGTTTACCTTAGAAAGGAGAGAAATAAAAGGAGATAAACATACGAAATGACAGTATCAAGAACAGAGATCAGAAACTTCTCTTCTCCCAGTATCATAACACAAGAACAAGGGGACCGGTTATTAAATTAAAAGGAGAGAAATTTAAAACCAATAAAAGGGAAATATTTTTTCACACTGTGCATTATTAGACTGCTGTAGTTAGTGCTACATAAAGTCATTGAAGCAAAGTATTACACCAGATTCTAAAAAAGAATTAGATATTTGTATAGCGGTCATGATTATGAGTTATCATAATTCAAACATACTTTTTTGAAAGGGATATCAAACCTCACACTTCAGGTCTTAAGTTAATTTTTAACTATTAGAGACCTGCATGAGACCTATGTGAATGTCAGATTACCCTACGTTCCCTTGAGCATCTGGTACTTCTCAGTGTTACCCACAGGACACTGGACTAGATGGAACATTGCTTGATCCTATTTAGCAATTCCTGTGTTCCAGTATTTCTATTCAAATGGATCGTTTACAGGGACAGAACAAAATTAAACTAGCTACTACTTATGTTTTCTCTCTTCCCTTCTTGCTAGTTTTGTATATGAGAAGATAAAAGAACTAAATCTTGTGATTCCACAATGAGTTCTATCTTTAGACAGTGGGCATATGTATTCTTGATCTGATAAATTGTTTGGATTTATTTTGAACAGATGACCACATGTGGAGTTGAGAAGGAGCTAATCTGTGCATTTGTTGTTGTTTTTTGCCTTCCCCTAAATCCCGTTGATTTTGAAGGGTAGATGGAACTACTTCGGCTTTTGCCGAAGCTCACTCACTAGGCTCTTGCCATTTTGATGCCAGACTATTGGATGCCGGACTATTGGAGTTTTACCGTATTAGCTTTAATGGGAAAAGAAAAGTAGATTTTTCATGGAATTATCCCCACCTCTACTCCCAGATTTTTGGCTTGGCAGCCATCTCCTTTACAGTTTCATAGTTTTTATATAGTAACTATTAGAATTGATACCTTTTCTCTCATATGGACAATATTTGGTGGGGGACAGAGATTATATGTTTTTGGCATGAAGGACTTATTCTGAGAAGGGATGGTTACACTGATTCAGTGGGATGAAGGGCTTAGAAGTTGGATGTCCAAGCAGTCTATAAACTATCCTTGAGGATTGTTAAATGGAATTCTTAATGCTATGCTAACATGATTAAATGGAGTCCCAATTGTTACTCAGTAAATAACATTTTAAGTTGTTTAAACCAATGTAGTAATATTGACTTTACACTCTTGCCAGTTACCTTTACTCTTCCATTTTGCTTAGCACACTAAAAGACATGACTGATTTTTTTCTCTCTTTAGGGGCGGCTGGCCCTGGCAGGTTGCCCTCCGACTAAAATCATCTCATGGTGATGGAAGACTCTTATGTGGTGCCACTCTCATCAGCAGCTGCTGGGTACTCACTGCAGCACACTGTTTCAAGAGGTAGTGCTGCATGATTAACAATGGGATTGTTTTCCACTACCACTGCATTGTTACCTTAGCTAGGCCAATGGGAAGGATACAGAGGCAAAAACCCTATCCTCACTACCAGCATATTGAAAATTTTTCCCCAAAAGACAGATTTCTGTTTTTTAAAATAGTGCTGAATTTAACTTGTATGTTTAAACTATTCTTACATTCTAGCATTACACAGATGGCATTCATCACTCAACAAATCTGTGTTCAGAACGTTAGCATTACCAGGGAAAACCTTTATAAAGAAAACTTCAGACTTCCTTAGCATAATCACCTAGGGGTCTGTCCTCATGGGCTGTGTCTAGACTACACCTCTCTGTCGACAGAGAGATGTAGCTTAGGCATGTCGAAATTGCTAATGAAGTGGGGATTTAACTATCCCACGTTTTATTAGCATAAGCATGGCCGCCGCTTTTGTTCGAAATGGAGCTTTTTTGAAAAAAACCCCAGCAGTCTACACGTGGCTCTTTTGAAAAATAAAGCCTTTTTCGAAAGATCCTATAAACCTAATTTTTCAGGTCCTGAGGTTTCCAGGATCTTTTGAAAAAGACTATTTTTCAAAAGATTCACGTCTATACTGCTGTTTTTTTTTTCCGAAAAAGTGGCGGCCATGTTTATGCTAATGAAGCGTGGGATATTTAAATCCCCACTTCATTAGCAATTTTGATATGCCTAATCTACATCTCTGTTGACAGCTCTGTAACACCCTGAGACACCTCAGTGTTAACCTTGCAAAATGAGTACATGAATCCTGTGTTGTATTTTGATATTCTGTCTCAGAAAGCATAGTCAGATATGAAACTTAACATTCTTCCTGTAATGTTTACAGACTAATTGAGTTTATCTGTAAGATCCTCTCTCTGATCAAATATTTTTGTTTTGTGCATTCTAAGGGAAAAGTAAATTTGCACTATGCTCTTGTCTGGAACTAATTAGTTTTTCTTACTCCTTCAGCCAGACTATTAGCAACTGCCTTACTCTTTGGTTTCTTAGGGTATAAAAATTAAGTATTTTGCAGCCATCTTAAGAATTCCCCCAGCACACTCAGGAAAGCTTTAAAACACATTCAGCCAAATATATGGATAAGTCTAAGAGGTTTTAAGCTACTGCGGCTTACACCTTCTTCCAGCCACTCAGCCTACCATAGAGTAAGTTACACCAGCTTCAGCTTCCTTCCAGCCATTTGTAACTATAGCTCTCATACAAATCATCTCTGAATTGACCTGTTTTATTTCACCGTGTACATTAAACTATCATCTAACTTTTCTATATTTATTCCCTCATTTCTGCTTTTTATATATTTTTTTATTTTTTACTATCTTTCTGCTTAATTTCTTTTCTGATAGCCCAATCCAGTATTAGTAACATCACAATCACTGCTGCTGAAGTTACTGCAACATCACAAGCACTGATGTAAATAGCAAGGCAGTGGATATAATACGCAGACATGGAGAAATCTTCATTTTGCAGCAATGACTAGGAAAGAAATATAGAAGAACTTCATAATAATAATAAGAAGGAAGCTGGATAAAATTGATCTCAAAGATGCTGTGAGCAATTTAACTTTAACCTTTGTCCCTTTCTTTTTTCCTCACTTCTTAGTAGAAGAGAGGCAGGAGATTGCGCTCATTAAAATGAATGGAAATTGGTACCTTTTATTTAGAGGCAGCTGCTCAACATATTTTCATTTTCCTGTTTCCAACTGCCATGTGGGACTCTTCTTGGTAACTGTTCAAACCTTAATAGCTAGACTCTGTTCATTAAATTGCACACTGTTTCCACTGAGATTCAACGTGGTTTTGTTGCAGAATATGAAAGTGCAAAGTCTTGGGTTTCTATCATTAAAGCTACTATAAACTGAACTCTTAATACCTGTTCATGAGTCCCATGATGATAACAAGGGATGAAGGTTAGCAGAATATTTTAGACTTTTGATAAAGCATTTTTTTCAAGACTTGAAAACAAAGCCCACTCTACCCTTCTCTCCTGTTACTGAAATTTTGACAAATAATAACTTGCATTTCACATTTTGGACATATGGGGGAAGATTCTTCACCCCAAAAGAGCTCCATTCAGGCACAGCAGAGAAAGAGGAAAACCATAGAATGCAGGGATTTGAGTGTATAAACAGTTAATGGATAAGCCTGGGCTTATTAGCTAACGTTCACAGTTAAACGCCGGGGCTCACCCTGCTCCTGGAGAGCCACCTGTCACCCCCACGCTGCTGCCTGTGATGTAAAGGCAGCAGTGTGGGGTGGCAGCTGGCTCCCTGGGAACAGCATGCACCGGCTCCGAGGGAGCTGGATATGAGTATTGTCCACTGAGTTTTTCAGCAGTTACACATTTACATAATTACCCACGTTTTAACATCTCTAATAGGAAACCAGTTGTGGTTTGCTGATCTTCAACTGGCCAGGAGGCAGCTCTAGCTTAAATCTGTGGAGAAGGTGATGTTCTGCGCCCTACTGTAACTTTCCGGTTTGCACATGCCCTGATCTTAGGGAATGCCCAAGGCATACTACTTGCATCCTTTTTTGCCAGGAGTAGGGACAGAGGGCACAAAATATGGCAGAGCTGCCACTGTGATCTTTCTGCCAGCAAAGTTCTTGTACCCAGGACTAGTTCTTCAATAACACTGGCATAAGACCAAAAAAATTCAGGCTGTCTCCCATGTACTCTTTAATGTGCCTTGTAGCACAAAAATAGGCATCCACTGCATGCATTTTTCAGCTTTTCTTATTTGTTGTAAATAGAAAAATAGATATTTTCCTTTTATAGCCTTTTGCCCACATGTAGTTAAGGATGTTAACTTTAAATTAATCAGCTATTCAATTAGTCGATAAGGGCACCTCTGCCTTTGAAATGTAGCAAGAGCCAGCAGGGCTCTTGCTACATTTCAAAAGCTATGTGCGTGCGGGGAGTACAGGGCCAGCGAGGGACTCAAGCTGTACTGTCTCCAGGGGTGGGGAGCAGGGGTACAGCGGGGAACTGGCTGGAGAGGGCTAAATTTCAAAAGCAGGGAGCACAGGGCCAGTGGGGGACTGCTTGAGTCCCCTGCTTGTCCCGTGCTCTCGCAGTGCATCTGCTTTTTAAATGTAGTAAGAGGCTCGCTCTTGCTACATTTCAAAGGTGGAAATGCCACCATCCCTGCATCCCTGCTCCCCACCCGCAGAGATGATGCTGGGGGGAAACCAGCTTTTAAGCCAGCTCCTGCTTCCCCACTTGCTGCCTCTCTCTGATAGAGGCAGCAAGGGGGGGAGGAGTGACTAGTCAACTATCAGATAAGCATATGTTTATCGGATAGTTGATTAGTCGCTTATATCCCTACATGTAGCAACTCAATTGGAGCATCTCTTCTTGGGTTGAATCTGAGCAGACACCTCCATTCTCAACTGCTCATTGATATGCATCTGAGCAAGTATGTACACGTGCCTAAGCAGAAACCTTCAGTGAGGACCAAAACTCCTCTATGGTATAATTCCACTGGTTTGAATGGCTGCACTGGGGACTGATTTGGCTTTCTGCATCCCAAATTCCCATTGATCAAGTGCTTATTCTCGCTAATGCTTATATGGGAAAGCAAGAATGCAGAGCCTTATAGTGAGAATGGTGGAATGAAGGCATTTGTAGTAGTTATAAGAACATAAAAACATAAGAACGGCCGTACTGGGTCAGACCAAAGGTCCATCCAGCCCAGTATCCTGTCTACCGACAGTGGCCAGGCA